TTTGTTTCAGCTGCTCATTTAGTTGGTGCACCTGAGCACTAACTTCACTAACTGCCAAATCTGGCAAAAATGGCTACTTACCATTGCAATCTCAACTTAGAAATCTGTCCCCAACATTCTAAAATTGCAATATTTCTCATTTGTTTCCGTGTTAACAAGAAATTTCAACGCTTCAAATCAAATCAACCTGCTTTTGAAAAGGAGATTGTTGGTGCCAAGTATCAAAAGTGTTTTCCTCTAGCCTGAAAGCTTTCAAATAAAAACATATATGAGTTTGGAAAGCCTTGCCCCATATGTACGTGCATACAGTTATGCAGTACAAGGCCCTCACCAGGACTGGTGTGAGGGGTTCATTAACGTTGTGCATGGTTATTTTTGTAGTGATTTCCCGTTTTATGTTTTGTCGAAAAAAAACTCTATTTTCACCTCATTTTTCTTTTCCTGCTGTCCTGTTCTCACAGTAACAATTTCATAGTTCTGTTTGCATAGATTCTTACAAATATTTTCACATTTCAATTCTGAACAATATCATTCCCTCGCTAGTAAATATCGATGTACATTGCGTTTTATAGATTAATATGTTGTAATGACCATTGTAACATGTGTAAAGGCAAGAGTGCTTACGCAAAAGCGTTGTCAACAATCTTTTCCCACTATAACCATTTTCTGAATGCGGTGTAGGTGACGTGTGTCGGGCAAGTTATTGGCGTCGTTGTTGCAGACAACAAGGACATTGCTCAGCGAGCTGCTCGTCTCGTGGAGGTACGGTATGACGAACTTCCCGCCATCATTACTATAGAGGTGAGCGTGTTTGTGAACCTCATGCTTTGTGAGAAAAGTAACATTGACTGTGTTCATGTATAAAACAACTCATTTTTTTCTGTCAAAACCTCGATTTGTTATCCTTTTATTGTTTTCACGGATTGTTGACGATTTGTGGAATTTCGATAGTGTGTCCCGAGAACACACAGCTTCTTCATTTACGTTGTGAACCTTCACAGAGCGGCAAAATAACTGTCGTGTGACAAACTGGAAAAAACAACACGGCTCTTATTGTGACCATGATTCCAATACCCGACAGGTTGGAGCAGAATTGGGAGAACAGTTGCCATTGACTTTGACATTTCATTTGGCCATCTCTGCCGGAATATCTGCCTGCCTTTAGACTAGATCAAGCTAGAAAGTGTGTCTGTCACGTTTCGATGTGTCGCGAGGGGTTTCATCCTGATTGGGGTTGATACGACCTTGTTTATCCCTGCAGGATGCTATTGAACGAGGCTCTTTCTTTCCTTGCAATCTCGCCATCAAGAAGGGCAACGTGGAGGAAGCTCTCGTGACGTCTGAATGCATTTTAGAGGGAGAAATGAAGATTGGTGGGCAGGACCACTTCTATTTGGAGACCATGTCCACTTTGGTCATTCCTGGAGAAGGGGGAGAGGTTGAAGTTATATCTTCCTCTCAGTGGCCGACGCTCACACAGGTGGGTATACCACTGTACAGCTAAAAAAGCGGGGGGGGAAATAATGTATGGGCATTTTAAAACGGCGACCGATACACTATTACCAGCTGGGCCAAGAAAACATTTCGACCCCCCACCCCTCTTTCTGTAAGGAAATCCGGGATTTTCCTCTGGAAAGGTCAGTGCAGTGTCACATCGCTCCAAACTTCTCGCCAGACGGAACATGCTACAATATTTATGGTCTTGACGAAGGAATGGAACAGTGGCGTATGTAGCGGGGAGGCGGAGGGCGGCGGGGGGGTTACCCCCGACGGTTTTTGGAGTAAAGCTTTTCATGTCCCCCAAATCATGTTGAGTAAGCCAGAAGTTGCATTCGCTTTTGCATTAGCCTCGATACCAAAAGCTGGATACGCTTCTGGGATGGAGGCTGAAAAGTTTGCTTTGGATAAGTGCCTTACTACCCCTTGGAGAAATGAGAACCTCCCATCATAGTATTGATTTTGTTCTCGCATCATCGCAAGGATCTACAAGCTGGGCAGGTGTTGGTCAGGTGTTGTCTTTTTGTTACTGCAGAAAATGGTTGCTATGGCCTTAGGAGTGCCAAACAACAAAGTGGTGTCGCGAGTGAAGCGAATTGGTGGGGCGTTTGGCGGGAAAGCGTCACGATCGGGATTGCTTGCCGCCATGTGTGCTGTGGCAGCCAACAAGTAAGTTCAAACCATTAATAGAATGAGACTTCATAATTTATTCACTACGGCAGTTCACGTTGAAAATGCAATGTTTGATAGAAATAAAAATACACTAATTAGCCACACCACTATATTGTACCACGCGCTGGCAGTAATAGCTGCAGGGGCAGGAGTCCTTTTTATTATTTTTTTTAGTTTCTTGGGTGACGTGACAGAGGGCGCTAGTCACTAGGTGCGGTGCGAAGTTAAAGATGGCGCTCCGCCCGGTAACGGGCAGATGTTAGGCGTGCTTACCTGTGTGTTAAGCCAACGTAGCGCATAGGCTCCGCCTTGCGCTTAAGGCAATTGGTTATACGGAAGTCACTGCTTGGTCATGTAGCGCGTGCGCAGGCGCAGTTAAAGCGGCGGCCGGCTCGCGATGCTATAAAAGGCGCGGGCAGGCAAGGTTTAGTCGTTCTAATCAAATATTGTATAGCGCCGAAAGTTCAACATGGATAACTCTGCCCAAAAGATATAATTACCATGGGCGCCCTTTGAGCAAGCGATACGCCTGCGCAGTTTACGGTAATGCTTGGGCGCAGGCTCGCCAGGTGCACGTGCCTGCTGCGGCGCCTGCGCTCTGTGCACGTACATTGGGAACGCGTATCGCTTGCTACGTGAACGCGAAAAAAGTGTGGACCCTTGCTGACGTCATTGCTTCGTGCCTATTGTCTCTCACGTACGGGTTGTTTGCACAGACGTCCAATACGTGAAACATGGAAAGTTCACGTTGGATCAAAACGTGAAAAACTGCAATTTCTTCAGAAGGATTCAAATTATGTGTTGAACATTCGCTGATGTGAAATGGACATTTTTGCAGAGTGCAAAGGTTACGCAACTGGGATTTGTTCATGCTTGGTTTATGTTGACCGATTGCACTTCTTTTTGAGAGATTTGCTGGATGTTGCTGATCATTTGTCCTTTTATTCGAGTGTTCATTGGAAGATGTACATTTTGTGTGGGACGTAGATCTAAACGTTCAAACAGGCAATTGGCGCACGCGCACCTGTGCGCAATGAGAAAAATTGTCGCGTTTGCGTTCACATTTGGGTTGCACGTGCATCTAAACCTCCCTAATGTTATGTGTGTAAAACGTGAGAACCAGCGAGTAAACCCACACGTGCGTGTATAAGGTTGCACTACACCAAATGTGTAGGAAAACAGTGCAAAATCGGACCGAAATAGCGCCGCCTGTTGACTCTCGTGAAGAGGTTGGCCCCAGTTTTTTTCAGTGGAAATTAAAGATTATGGCCAGACTTTTTGTTTTCGTTTCATGGGGGTTAGCCACAAAAAATTTTCATTCGCCTTTCAAGGAATATACCCCCAAAATAGCAGTAAAACTCAGCGCTCATTTCTGAATGTAGTGGCCCGCCTCTATCTAAAATATGCCTGCAATTTTGGGTTTTTGTATGAAAGAAATACCCTGAAATGGAAAATATCAGTCCCAAATTCGGGGTTTATAGAAATATTTCTAAGATCGCTCCTGAATATGGCATGTCTTATTGTAAAAATCCCGTGGGATGACAAAATGTTAAGCTTGCACGCCGAAATACAACCATTTGGTGGAACGCACTCATTGAATACCGAAGTGCGACGTCACTGTGAACCAGAGAGTACAGTGCAAACTTGTTGGATCACGCACTGGTTTTCGCGCTAATCCTTTTACACACTTATTGTGCGCGTGACGTACCGTACTCACTTCGGTACTCTACCTGGTTCGTAAGTGTGACGTCACTTCAGTTTAAACCACGCCCACTGCACATGCACTGCAAATAGAGTTAAATGCATTATGCAAGCAACTGAATCTGCTTGCCCTGAAGAAGGTACTCAGTTACCGAGAGCTCGGCAATCGCATATTTCAGAGCACTCGAGCTGATTTGATATTATATTCTTGTCGTTATTCTGATCACGGTGCTACGCATCCCTTCCATATTTACATGCAGTGATCGCCGTTTCTGTGGAACCATGGAACCGAAAGTTAACGCGCAACTTCTGCGATCGTCTAGTGGGAGCCTGCGAATCGTGGCGCGTCCGCCTTTCTGACGAAGTCACTTACGAACCGGATAGGCCTACTCCATCTATTTGCACTTTGGTACTCTACAGATACGAAAAATTTATGGAGAAAGCTAATATATATAGACTCAACAAACAACCCGTTGCTCTTTTGAATTCCTCAGAGTGAACCGTCCAGTGCGACTAATGCTCGATCGTGACGAAGATATGGTCATGACTGGAATCCGGCACCCCTTCCTGGGCCGCTACAAAACTGGATTTACCAGAAATGGGCGCTTGACTGCCTTACAGATCGACCTGTACAACAATGGAGGAAACACGATGGACCTCTCCAGCGCTGTAATAATCCTGATCGACTAAACTCTTATAATTGTGACACAATTTTATGAAGAAACTATAAGCATAACGCTAAATGCTTTGCGAACAGAACATTCTAATGTGTTCATTGTAAACATTACCCATGACTAACATTTCAAGGAAACAATAAATCTGAACATATGGTAAGGATTCTGGGCACACCATGGGATCAATCTCCTCAAGAAAGGTAAAGTTCCAAGAGAATCGATGAGTGTTGACTCGATGTTTCGGCTAGGATGCTCTGGCCGTCTTCAGGCTTGACTCTCACCGGTTCTCTTCAGAACCTTACCTCTTCTTGGAGAGGTATGTTCTCATGGTGTACCCGCAAATCACTGCCGTATGTACTACTTCCACCATGCAGTTTCAAATCTTACTTAATAAATCATAAGTCTGGTCTTTGGAATTTTAGAATAATTTTAGCGACCTTTTGTTTTACCAGGCATTTATCCATACTCTATAGAAGTATAGAGAATCTCTATCAAGATAAATAAAGGCACCCTTTTTGTCGTTTTATTTTTTTCAGGTTATAGAAAAGGCACTATTCAACATGGACAACTGCTATAAAATTCCAAATGTACGAGTAAGTGGTCATCCGTGCAAGACAAACATCGCATCCAACACGGGTTTTCGAGGCTTTGGAGGCCCAGAGGCAAATATGATGATTGAATCCATCTTGCACACAATTTCCATTGAGTACGGATTGTCCCCAATACAAGTGAGGTTTTGTTTTGTCAACATAACAACAAAAATTATTTAAATGACATGAGTTATTTTTTACTAACTTAAACTTTTATCTTAAACAAGAGTCTCTTTGAACATGGGCTTGGTTGAACACTTTTGTTTAAGATTGTTTTAAAATAACAACAGTAAAAAATAACTCACGTCACGTCTTGTTTAGGATTGTTTTCCCCATTTTACCATATCTTCCCAAACGAACTGTCTGCTAACTTGCTCTTGTTTTTCGGTACATTCAGATTCGAGAGATGAACTTCTACAAAGAAGGAGATCGAACTTATTTTGGACAAGAACTGAAAAACTGGAACTTGGATCGATGCTGGAGCGAATGCATAAGAAAGAGCGACTTTCACAGACGCAAACAAGATGTAGACGAGTTTAACAGGTATGGGATTTTCAAAATACGGGAAAACCCCCATTTGGCTTCGTAATGCCAGTACAGGTGCTCTGTGATGAAGTTTGGCACCAGATAAAAGCAGAGTTTTATCCAATACAGACCAAAAACTGTTTTAGATGTTGAGCAAACTTGCACTATTCTGTGGAGGGTGGCAAGCATTTAAGAAATGGAGGCTTACTCATTTTGCCCACAAAACTTGTGGCTGTCTTTCATCTTACGGAGTGAAACTTCATGGACATATAAACATGTATTTATTGAGAAACTGCATTTGAGTAAGGACATAGCAAGAGATTTTAAAACGGTGGCCCTTAACGCTCACTAGATTATCTTGTGACCACGTTTAACTAGTGCATGAAACTTCTCAGACATATGAATTAAGGCCATTTTCCGAAGTGGAGTCAGTTGAAACGCTAACTTCAAGGGCGTGATATATCAGAGGGTGTACTCCAGAGTGGGACTGGGCACCCGTCATTTAAAGCCCAGATTAAGAGGCTGACCCTCAGCACCCAGGTTGAAGCTTTACATTAAGTAAAACAAAGTCACATAATCACTGAGCTCATGTATTTAGAAAAATGAACAGGTGTTAGTTTCAGCAGTACATTGCGTTACGACCACCTTACAACGTGACGAATCATTTTTGATAGGCGTTCCGGAATGTTTAAAAGAGTTTGCTTCCATAGCAAATATTTGTACATTTCCCTTACAGAAGCAGGTACGGCTCGAGCATGGAGTCTTGATTGATTTTTCTCTTCTTGTCTTCTTGTACAATGTGTCTTTGCAGAAAGAGCCGTTGGAAGAAGAGAGGAATTGCAATGACGCCTGCCAAATATGGCATTGCATACACACACGTGCCCATGAATCAGGTATAACTGTGCACAAAACAGATCCACAGTAGCATCTCGTTACTAAGAGTCGTTACAAGCCATATCTCAAAGTTCAAAAGAACTGTAATATCGATGAGGATAACAGTGGACTACAGTACTTGGTACTTGTACCGTTTATTTTAGTTTATTTTTTACATTTTGTGATAGATTTTGCATATTACCTTCTATTAATTTTGTTATTTTTCAACAGCCAAAAATGAGCATAACAGACCTCATGAATGAGGTAATTCGGAATTTCAAAAAGGCATGGTCATTCAAGGGGAAACCAGCTGACGTCACACCAGTACAAACCAGATCAGTACGATACAGCCTCACTCATTCTGACGACCCAGTACGCGCGTATTGATATTCTCAACTGCCTTCGACCTGCTTCAGTTTGTTCATGCGTCTATTTTGGATTACCGAAATGGCTCATTCATGTTCGCATTGTTCGTTTCAGGCCGGAGCTTTGGTTCACGTCTACACAGACGGTACGGTTCTAGTCACTCATGCAGGGACCGAGATGGGCCAAGGGTTGCACACCAAGATGATCCAGGTGGCGAGCCGGACACTGAGAATCTCCCCGGAGAAGATCCACATCAGCGAGACCAGTACCAATACGGTGCCTAACACTTCACCCACTGCAGGAAGCACCAGTTCAGATCTGAACGGCATGGCTGTTAAGGTGGGTAGAGATGGTGTCAGCTTTGGCTCACAAATACGAAAGGGAGCTGGTTTCCATAGTGACAGGCGTGATTTTTTTTCAAAAGTTTTGGCAGCAAGGGAACAGGGTCTATTTGCCACACTGTACTAATCAGGATAGGCTCTGATGATTGAGCTCTCAAGAACTCTGTAAGAGGGGATGGACCAAAATCTTCTTATTTTTCTCCCATCTACTTCTCTGGAATTTCCTTGAAATTTTTTTTCCATGTTCTGAAACCCCCAAAGTTGGAACATGGCCAAAAATTGTTCTCGAAACTAATAAAAACTTTCAGATCGTAAAACCAGAGTGAAACACCTACAAGTTCGGTGTATGAACCGTTGTGTTCTGCAGTGGGATTGACTGGTTTGTGTCATGTTGTATGTGGGGCAGATCTGAATCAAACAATTGGGTTGTCTTTTGTTCTCATCAGGAAGCTTGTGAAACCATCCTACATCGCTTGGAGCCTTTCATTCACAACAATCCGAAAGGAACATGGGAGAGCTGGGTAGGCTCAAGATCATCATTTCCTTGTTACTTGAATTAAGATTTACAACATCAAGTGAATAATTATTGTGGTGGATTCAAACTTGGCAATAAAACTTTCTCCAGCATCCGCCGTCCAATTCAAGGAGCTGGTAGACTCTTTTGCTGAGCTGCCATTTGTAGAGCCTTTGTTTTGGTGTCCACTCTTCCTCGTCTACAGTCATATACTGATGGCTACCCAGTCACTTTTGTAGATGTTTCCTTGAAAGTTTACAAGGCAGAAGAGAGCAGTCACAAGAACCCTCCAATATGGGGCACGACTTGTGTATAAGCGATAATCAGAATCACAGCTTAATCAAATTGATTGCCATAGCCTACCAATAAATGCATATGTGTGTGTGTGATTCCATAGATTAATGCAGCTTACTTGAAGCGTGTCAGTCTGTCTTCCACCGGATTCTACAAGTGAGTGATGTATCTTTGTTAGTTAACTTTTCTCCGTTTTCTTATTTGCTGTTCGTTCAGAAGGAAATGGTGTCCTTTATGTGCGTTTCTTTTACAATGTTATTTCGCGTGTAGTTTATGATTGGAACCGTCTGTGGAATAGTATTTCCTGAATAAAAAGATTATGTCAAACCCCCGTGCGTTTAGGCCTATGTGCTCAAGTTTTCACTTTACCTCGTTCTCTAGAACTCCAGACCTGCACTTCAACTGGGAGACTGGAGAAGGCAGACCGTTTAATTATTTCACTTACGGTGTTGCAGTCTCTGAGGTAGAGATTGACTGCCTGACGGGCGATCACCAAGTGCTGCGCACCGACATTGTTATGGATGTGGGGGACAGTATCAACCCAGCGGTTGATGTTGGTCAGGTACCCAAGTACAGTACACTAATACTCGCCAGATTTTGGGATGATGTCGTTCTCATCTCAAAGAATAGTAAAAGCTAAAAATCGCTTCCGCTAAATGGCTGTAAGATTTAATCTTATACAACATATTTGTTACAAAGTGTACTTTTCGTCGGGGAGATGTAATTTTTTTTTTCAATATTTGTTCGAGAGCTTACGAAAAAATTGAGTGTGCGGTGTTTGTATGAATACGTCGGGGTGAGGGCAAAGCTATTAATACCTCACGTTTTCAAAAAGTGTTTGTACTCACCTATAATATTACTTCCAATGGTACATGGAATGAAGTCTTCCTAAAACAAGTTTAACTCTGATTCTACCTTCTGTTGGCCTTTCGTTTTCAGATCGAAGGTGGCTTCGTTCAAGGCTATGGCTGGCTCGTCCTAGAAGACTACCGAATGACCCCAACTGGACATCTCCTGACCAAAGGGCCTGGTTTCTACAAGATTCCCGGAGTCGGTGACATCCCAAAAGAATTCAATATCAGTCTCCTCACCAGAGCACCTAACTCCCTCGCCATTTGCTCGTCAAAGGTCAGTTCGGGTTTGCTCTAATGTCGCAGTCATTTGTCATATATTTTGACATTTAGTCTTCTAAACCAGGGTGTCTTTAGCCACCCTGACAGTTTTTGCTAACCTCTCGCTTTTGGGCTGAGGATATCATAGGCCTGTTTCACACGGATAGGGCCTAGAGATTGTGATCAGTGATCCGCCGGTTGACTGATATCAGACCCCACCTAATGGATAAAGCAAAACAGTTTTATATCATTGATCGAGATGCACACTCGCTGGTGGGAGCTCAGCGTTGGTCGGATCATCATACCGAGGGTGTGTTATTTTTCGTCGGGGGGGTTCATGAATTACAAGTCGACCCACTTCAACCACAGGAAAGACTGGTGAGAGAAACCTACGGATCTTGGACAAGCGGTAAAGATAAACTCACTTTGTATTCATTTCTGAAACCAGGTGAAACCATCATGGTGGGCAAGGGGGCACTTTAGGAAAAAGAGGAATAGAAAAAGGAGGGGGAAAGACAGTTGACAGTTTAATACGACGCAACTGATGAGTGCTCCTCCTAGCATCCTCGATTAAAGTCCTTGCGACGCCCATAGTGAAAACAAAAATGCTTCATTAATTCAGGCCAGATTGTTTTGGGGTAACGCATAGGACACTTCTGCATACAGATTGCTTAATGCACATATATTCTGCTCTCACATGAAATTGATGTAGAGAAACCACCTGTTCTTACGTATCACAATATTCTGTCCAATTCCGTCCAAATATACGTCGTGCTACCTACAGAAATAGCCCAGTTAGGAGTTTGAGTGCACTTATTACTGTCCATATATATTCTTCCAAAGGTAATTGCTGTGTTGATTTAAGTGTGCTTGCGATTTCTGTAGCCTGCAGACATTTCTTTCGGGTCCAATAAAACTTTGTTCGAACTCAAATCTTGTAACTATGTTGTCTTTGTTAACCTCCTCGTCAGTATTTGTTTCTTGTCCCTACCAGTTCCTACATTTTGACTTATAGCGTCAGTGCCCGTTGTATACATTATTTATGTATTGTATCTCTCTCCCTCAGGGGATAGGAGAACCTCCTGTGTTTCTGGCAGCTTCCGTCTTTTTTGCAATCAAGGATGCTATCCAATCAGCGAGAGATAATGCTGGGCTACCCGGCGTCTTTCATCTGAACAGCCCAGCCACGGCAGAAAGAATCCGCATGGCCTGCCAAGACAGGTTCACGCAACAGGTATATCAATGCTTACAAGCTTGCTTATTTATTTTTATGAAGTTTCAAAATGAGCACATCATTGTCACGGATATTTTTGTGGAGAAAATTTTGAAAAGTTTGGCTGTTCAGTTTACTACACGATACTCCAGAGATGTTACTGTGAGTAAAATTTAATAGACCCACTCACATTCTTGTGGGGTATTACGTTTATTCTTGAATACTAAAAAATTAATATGTCATGACCCTGACATGCCATAACGGTCATAGCCTCATTGCATTCTCACTATACTGGCCGTATTACTCCTCTTCTTTGAAATGATGTCACATAAAGTTGAGAAAAGGTCACTACCCCCTTTGCAAAAGTGTATAAATGTGTTCATTTTCCCAAGAGAATTACACTAAAGCAATGGCGTAGCTAGGATTTTACAATTGGGGCACATGGGCAACCAGCATCTTATGGGGGGCACCAGCTTTCAGTGGTGTGTGTGTGTGTGTGTTTTTTTTGGGGGGGGGCAAAGTTCGTCAGCCTTGTTCAATGTCCCTTCATCCGTTTATTTATCGGGGGGAACCTGGGGTGCACCGATAATTTGAGGGGGCACGTGCCTCCAGGCGCCCCGTGGCTACGCTAAAGCTAAGGATTGTAACCTTCTATCAATAAAGCCATGCATAGTCACACTGTGTGCAGCCTTATATGTCCTGCGGTACCCAATTTACATCAGTTAGATTTGTATTATTGTTAATACATTTTTTTGCACATCATCGAAGGACCAACGAAATTTCCTGATTACATCCAATAAATCATGCGACTTTATCAAACAGGAAAATAATGTCGCCGAATCACCTTGCAGTCACAATCACAGATCCATTGGTGGTTAACTTAAACCGGAACCTACATAATGGATAGCGCGAACCAGCTCTTGGATCACTGATCGCGATCTGGCTCCGTGTGAAACAACAGGCCCAACTTGTCCCGTTGAGTTTCCAAAGAAGTTGCACGAGGCACCGAGCTTTCATTTTATTCAATATTAAACCACCGTTATAACTCTACACACAGATGTCATGCTGCATGGAAGAAGGGACCATGGGAAAAATTAATTGGATAAACGTCGACATTTGATGCGTTTTGGAATGGAAAAAATACTTCTTGTCTGTTTGGCCAACAGGTTCCGCAGAGTGATCCAGGAACCCACTCGCCGTTTTTTGTACGTCCGTAACTGGGATTCACGGCACCCTCCTGCATATGAACTTAAGATCTGGTAAAAGGATGCGCCATGACCTTTGTTGCTGCTTTGCACTGTATGGCTGCACTGCTGATTGCAACTCAATCAGTGATTACTTTACTCCATTTTTTGTTGAGTTGGCTTTCGGTCCCCTCTGCATTTTATCCAGTGACGTATCTAGCGGGGAGGGGGCAGGTGGGCAAGTATACAGGGAAAAGTTAAGATTCATGCCATACTGACGTCTTTGGTTTCTAAAGTGCGCAATGCCAGGAACTGCGGGGGACACTTCGTGGACCAAAACAATTTTACGCTGTGAAAATTACCTTCATGCTCGATTAGAATGGTTGAGCGGGGAATCACCCGATGCGAAATTTTTGTGGAAACTTGATGAGAATTTCTTGACTGAAAAGATTTCACTCGGAGACTACCCACCGCTACTTATAAGTAGGGTTGCACACCAATGCACCGTGCTGTGAGTAGGTCGGTATCATAGGATCGTACCATGGACTACGCTCGCCACACTTGTAAGCTAGACCAGTTTTGGCTTGTGCACCGCAGCAGTGGCTCTCTGTTGTGTGACAAATGGGGGCGCTTTTCATGCCATGCTAACAAGCGTGGCGAACGCAGTCCTGCTACAATCCTATGATACCAACCTGCTCATGGCATCTCGTATTTTGTGCACAAGCCCTGCTTATAAGTAGCGGTGAGTAGTCGGATCGGGTGTTAGTTTTATCTTTGGGAAAAGAGATCAGCAGGCGTGTAATGAATTGCGCCCAGCCTCTGCGATCCATACACTGCAATATTATGCATGAAGTCCACATCAAAAGTATAGCAAGATTAACAATAAGTTACGAAGATGTCAGGTGTGCATTGACAGAAATGGTGACCATATGGAGGGCTCAGCACATTAAACCTATGAGGTAAGTAGCGAAACCAAAGCAGATTAAATTGATTTAGGTACATTCCTTGTTTTCAAGAATGTGTTCTTAAAGCATAGGCACTTGGTATTCTGCAAACTTGCACTGTTGAACCTCGTTAGTCAAATATGCAAACTTGTCACATTGCCGATTCCAGCACCCTTCACCTCGGTCTGGTTTGTTCACTCATATGTGTCGATAACATCACTAGCTGTATACAAAATTGTAAAGAGGACATTCTACCATTTCTGGAGATATATTTCTCTCATGTGTAAAGTAGTTTTGCCATATACAGTAATTTTTATCTTGGTATACTTTTTATGTGGACACCCATAGCGCGCACGTTTTTGACGTCACTGGCTCATATACATGAACATGCGGTTTCTGCCTCCACCGATGTCCTAACCCTGGGGCTAGTTAAGATTTTGGCCCCTTTTGGATATAAAAAAAATAATGAATCTCTTACTATTCTCGATCTATGTTAGTCAACTTAATTAACAATTACTGAATGTCTAGATTGATATCAATGAATTGAGTTTTTATGTTACAGACCAACATTATTTCTTCTGAACATTAAGGAGTCTTCACGTGACTAGATTTTCTCCTTTAAAGCAAACTTTACCATTTCTTTCGTTGAACTAAATTGATCTAACGTTTTCTCAAGAATCTGCATGCAAAACAACGTATTTGTACAGTGGTGTATTAAGTGAAATTTTGTGAACACATCAAAAGAAAGCCAGTTTTGCGATACCTATATATGCTGTTTGAAATACGTTCCTACTAAGTCTAAATAGGCAGTGGTATGAACAGGTTTTTATATCTACATAATCTGATTCAACAATCAGATAACTTTTTACAACACAGCTATTCATTTATGAGTTGATCAGTTGAAAAAGAAATCACAAGACTACGCAAAAACTTAGGCTATCTTTTAAATGTTAGGTTGTTGCATTTTCATTTCAATGGAATAGAAATAAATGTTTCAGACCATTTCAATGAAACTGCACGCAAAACTCAGGCAAGTCATACTGTAAATCTGCAGAGATCTTCGAGATGTCAGTTCCTCGGTAATTCAAATGTACCAGGACAAGATTGCATTAGAGGCTTCGTCTAGCTTAATAGCTGTTACTTCCTAATAATTAATATATTAGCAATAATTAATCGTGGTAATATCACGCAAAATAACTCAATTTTTTAAAGAACAGTAGCCTATGTAACGTATTACATAAACTTTCACATTATGCTATCTGCAGCAGTGAGCTGCCATGTAAACACATCTTCTTGACATCTTCCTGAGATTTCAAATTAAGACCATAGAGCTTATATTCCTAGTTAGACATTACGATGATCCTCAACATATCAGCTAGAAAGAGCAGTAATATTTGGTAACGTTTATTTCATTCCATTAGTTCCACCCCCCCCCCATAGCAAGTTAATGGCGTACATTGGGAGAGCACAGTGCTTTATCAGATGTTCCTCTATCCATTGATGCAAGTTTCATATCCATATTTGCTTTACTTCCGGAAATATCTGCAAAAGAAAGCGCGAGTTCGTGTGCAACGGCAAAAGTTTTTTGCGTAAGTCTGACATACTGTGACGTGACAGAGGGCGCTAGTCACTAGGCACGGTGCAAAGTTGTAGATACTAGATTGCGCTCTGCCCAGTAACAGAGGCAGATGTTAGGCGCGCATAGCTGTGTGTTAAGCAAGCGCGGCGATAGGGCAGCGGAAGTCACTGCTTAGTCACGTGAGCGCGTGCGCGGGCGTGGTCAGAGCAGCGCAAAAGCTATAAAACGCGCGCGCAAGCGTTAAACAAGGCTTAGTCGTCCAGATCAAGGGCTGATCCCGAGGTAAGGGTCGAGAATCCTGTGCAAGGGTTAAAGTTACCTAGCCTAGTGTGACTGTGCCTAAGTCCGAGTGGTGCGTGTGTTGTTGAGGGGCTGATTGGTGGTGCGGTATAGTTCCTGATAGGAGCTTGCGGTCGATGCAAGGGCAGATTGCTATCTCGTGACGTGAGTAGCGTGTAGCGCAACCCTAATAAATAAGCCCTGTAGACTTGCTAAAGTCCCTGATTCGGCACTGGATGCCCCCAATTAATTGTGGTGTTCGCTGCTCTGGGCGAAGTCCGGTCACGTATAATCACACAGTCTCCCGTCAATAGCGCCCTCTACTGGTGTATTGGTTGAGCGAGTTGATGAATAAACGAGCCGCTTGTTAATTGTTGTATATAGTCAGGAGTCCAGGCGAAGTTTATTTCAAGTCAGGTCTGTCCAGGTTACGTCACTAAGTTTCGACCAATCAGATTAGCCATCATCTTCGAAGACCAACTTTCTTGGGGGACGGTATACTTCGGTCCTAACGGACTCGTCCCTAGCCGCTCAGGGACTCTCCGGCGTGCCGTCCGACGCACCGCGCCGCGAGGAGGAGGGCGGGCGCCCTCGCCTTCGTCGGAGGGGCGCGGCGTCACAATACTCTCCACTAGATGGGCTCTGTTCGCGCCCAAAGAAGGCTCGACATATTCGATCTTAAGGGATCTACACATTATCCAGTTCTGACAATGCTGGTGTCACCTGAAAGGGTAGATGCTCCTCTATCGATTGATGCAAGTTTCATATCCATATTTGATTTACTTATTGGAGGATCTGAAGAGAAATCGCATGTTCGTGTGTAACGGCATGATTGTTTTGCTTGGACAAATATGCCCGTTCATAAATACAAAATCAGAATGGTTTTGATCAATGTTGGGAGTTTTTGTGGCAATGCGAGGTCTTTGAAATTTTGCGTCACATTGGGGCAAGAAAAATCAGCATTCAAGGTGTGAAGAAATGACTGATTGTCTAAAGTTGATATTTTGCTAACAATGTTGCTTTCTAATTGCGCTAAAAATTAGTTGAAGAAAGGAAACGACAAAGCTTTTGGAGTAATGATAATATTTTTTTCTGGTAACACGGGATTTTAGTATAGGTTTGGGCCACTATTCGGTATTGCATTGTGCTGGCTTCGTTCGAACGGATGTGATCATTAGTATTGATCCATGTTGAGTGTTTAAATCAAAATAATGTTTCTGAAGGCAAGAGTGAAATTGTAAATACACCTACCCAACCCAAAGTCATGTGACATGAGATTCACTTAACTGCGCCGACACACTAGGATTGACATTTACTGGATTCAAAAACAAGCGAGTTGAATGCAACTTCCCACCTTTTATCTGAAGCACAAGTCACTGCTACTTTTCAGTCACAACTTCACAACTAAATTAATTTTTGCGAAGGCAACCTGAATGGGTTGTTTAGTGTGCAACCTTTGGCAACTTCTCCCGAAACAACTGCATTACAAGAAGGAATTTCTTAATTAAAAGTCATACCATGCAAGGATTTTCCCCTCCGCAATGGTGGGAGGGCTGAATAAAGTAACTTGAAAACAAATATTGAGTGAAAGCACAGAAGAGAAACACAGCGTACTAATAGGACCCCTGTCTAGCTGGGGCTCGGAAAGCCAGGACCCCTTGTAGATTACTGATAAAATCTGTTCATTAAATTCGAGTCTTTTATAGTGTACAGACTAATAAGGCGCAAACATCGAGTCGTTCATATTGAGACTCAGCGGTGGTCGCGTTTGTCTATCACTGCCGCCCCGCAGACCACAGTTTGTGGCAAATTGCGAATGAACATTCTCATTTCTCATGGAAATCATTCTCTTGAATCTGATGCTCGTCTTTTTCTCGAATTTCGTGACCAAATATGATCATTACCAAACCAAAATATGAAGTTGCAGTTTCAACCTTATTCCCACTTCCTCAGCGGTGGTTAAGTTTGTTTATCACTGCCACCCTGCGGACAAAAGTTTGCGACGAAAAAACGAAGGATTGCGAATGAACATTCTCTTTTTCATCGAAATCTCAAGGCGCATTTCTTTTGAATCTGGTGCTCATCTGTCTCTCAAATCTCACGACCAAATTCCCGAACCGAAATTTACAATCACTGTTTCACAATTATTCCCACTTGCACATTCTCAAACAAATGGAATGATTTGTTTCTTAATTCCGATTAATTTCATGAAATGTAAAAGATGAACATTTGAAGTTTTAGGTTACTTTTTGTTACATGGTGCCTGAAGAGGAATTAAAACCTTTTAGTTCAAAACTTACTTTTGATCTTCGTAATGAT